TCCTCCTGCCTCTGCCTCCCTAGTAGCTGGGACTACAGGCTCGTGCCACAACGCCCAACACCTGTCTAACTTTTCTGTGCTTAATAGAGATGAGGTCTCACTCTTGCTCAGGCTGGTCTCAACTCCTGAGCTCAAGCTGTCCTCCAGCCTCAGCCTCCTAGAATGCTAGGATTACAGGAGGTGTGAGCCACCAAGCCCGGCCAAAAGAGCTCTTTTTAAAAATGTATTGAGGTAGTTTTAGTCAGCTCAGAGATTCAGCTCCCTATCTTCTATGACAATTACTCATTATAGGAATGCCTTCCACAATTAATGCTTCTGTTATTAACTACTTACATCTTTAGGGTGTTGTACTTGAAAAATGCAAGTTGTAAAATAGTATTTATAAAATTTTATGTATGATAGTGTACATAATACATAGGAAAAAATCAAAAGGAATATAGGAATATATTAAATTGTTGATAGTGGTTATTTTGGGGAAGGAGAGATTAAGAATTCTCAGCAAGATTTTTTTTTTTTTGAGACATAACTGTTTCCCAGGTTAGAGTGCAGTAGCCTCATCATAGTTCATTGCAACCTTGAACTCCTAGGCTCAAGGGATCCTCCTGCCTCAGCCTCCCGAATAGCTGGGAATATACGCCGGTGCCACCACGTCCCACTAATTTTTTTGTAGAGACAGGATCTTTCCTGGGCTGGTTCTCAAACACCTGGCCTCAAGTGATCCTCCCGCCTCAACCTCCCCAAGTACTGAGATTACAGTTGTGAGTGACTGAGTCCCCCTCCACTAAGATACTTAAAACAAACATGGGGGCAAGGGTAAAAACTTTGATTATTGGGTGTTTGTTTTTAAACCAGTGATATTTTTTTTTCAGTGAAGAATAAGCTAATTAACTGTTTATAACAATATTACCAAATTTTAGTCTAGAAAAACTACTAGAGGTAGAAAATGTTATGTCATAATATACTATTAAAATGATATTTTAAAACTCAGTTGTGGAATATACATTATGCCATTAAAAAGGATTTGTTTAGTCTTTGTTCAGAGATTAGAAATGTGAACATACTTGTACAGATTTCTTATGTTCTCTAGGCTGTATTAAATTTTATCATCACCTTTCAATTATGACATCTGAAACAGTATAAAAACCCAGGACAATCTGGAGTCATCTGTCATACAGAAACCATTTTAAAAACACAGAGTAAGAAAATCTGACATATTTTTTTTCACCTCATTTAAACAAAATCCTTAAATTCTCATATTTTCCTCTTGTACAATCAATGGGATATTCTTAACCACATTTTCCTAAGTTGATCATTCAAAAAATAATTTCCATCTGGTAGAGATACTGTACTTAATTTGCACCAGCATGTGTTACTAAAAGGCAAAAACTATGATTACCTTATTCTAAAGATTCCATGTTTTTAACCTACTCTGTATTGTATCTCTAAGACAAAGAGACAATCTTAGGTTGCTCTCCATATAAAATGAAGGTACTGATGAATAGAATCATAGAAATTAAGCATTTTAGGTATCTGGTCTAACTGCCCTCCCCACCTTCTGGTGAAAACAGCCCCAGAAAGACTGACTTGCCCAAGGACACAAGGCCAGCTGCTGTCTTTAATATTCTGCCTCCCCAAGTCTAAAAGTGAAAATAAAAGAGATTAATTTGTGTAGGCTATTAGATTATATTTAAACCTATTTTGGGACTGACAGAATTGACAGTGTCTCTTTTCTTCCCAAACCTCTAATACTCATCCCAAGGTTAGGACAGAATTAGCTAAACAAGGTTAAAGGTTATGTCTGACAACAGTTCTCCAGGGGAAAGGGATAGGAACAAAAGAATAACACTTGGCTAAAAGGATGTTATTTTTAAATGATTACTAACCACTTGTTATAAAAATCACCTCTTGCTTTTATTTTTATATCAGTTTGATAAGTGAATGTTAATCCAACTTAATTTTTTAAGGAGAAACAAAAATTAAAATGAAAAATGTTTTTTTAAAAGACAAATCAAACAATGATGTCTCTTTTGTTAAGAGTTGGATGCCTGTGGCTGACAGCAGGTATTGCCAAGTAATAAACATTTTGCCATTCAACTATGAATCCCTCATTAGCATTAGTTTTAAAGGAAATGTTACAGATTTTATATTATTTGATTTGGTATTTAATAACAATTATAAGTACAATGGCAAACACTGAAAAAGAAAACCCTTAGCAGAAAAGAAAAAGACAATTTAAAGTCAGGTTTTGTTGAAGGGTGTTATAAGTGCAACTTTATCCATAAGCATTCCTTTTAAGGCATTTCCATTGTCCAAATATCTCAACATGTACATCAAGGTTTATATTATAAAATGGGCTCCTTTTGTATTACTCATTCAAGGCTTAAAGAAAAAAATACATCTCAGGATTAAGTGTAGCTGAAAAGAAAAAATTCACCACTTTTCTCGTAAAACGTAACTTAAGATACAAAAGTTATTTAGCATACATTATTACTCCCCATTGTAATTCCAGATTAGGTACAGTATCTTTTTCTCTTCCTGACATAAACCCTTAAGACAGCACAGGCTGCAGTACTTCATTTTTGAGGTGGCTGCAATTCTATAATATGCACAGTGATTTTTAAATAGGCTCTTACCATGCCTTGCATGAAAGGTGCTACATACAAACCTGTTTTGTGAACTCTTTGGTAACCACCAATTCAAAAACTTGGACCAAAACATTTCCACATGGCCAGATCTGAAGCACATTATTGTAGCTCTGGGCCAAAGCTATTACCCTGTATATTGAATTCTTTAGTTTCCCTGGGGGTTCAGGTGTTGATTTAGAATAGAGCCAGATAATTCAAAGCATGTCAGGCTCCAGTTAGTTTCCAGTTGGCTTTACTATTTTGTTTGGCAGCAGCAGCAGTTTAAATAAGGGAAAAGAGTGGCTTCCTACAAAGTTTGCTTCTGAAGGTATCTTGGAGAAAATAAAATATTCATGTGGTTATTATCCAGTCCTTTCTTGAAATGGTCTGAAAAAAGTGATGAATATAATTGAGAATATTCATATTTTTGCAGTCTCAACGTGTTCCCTTCGTTGTCTCTTTAATTGTATTTCTCAGAGTCAACCTACTCAGATTCAGTACTTTACAGACTGTCCTTCAGCATTTTCTACTTCAAGCATTAATGTGCTTAACTCAGCAGGTTCTCTATTTTAGGATATTAGTGTCCTGGAGAGGTAAGCTGTGTTATCATTCACCCTCACTGGGCCACCTCACACTCATTAAATTTTAACTTTCAGTAATTTTTCTGGATGTATCCTAGTTGTGCAAATTAGATGCTAGCTAATATAAATCTAAGTTACCTACTCACTGTTTTTAGCTAATACATAATTTCTACATTTACTTTCAATTTATCCACCTAAAAATGAATTTACATTTTTACATGCAAGTGTCTCTCGACTGCCCTGATACCCATTACCAATTTGATACTTGAATCCAGGGAGTCACGATGGAAAGAAAGATGTTTCAAAGTCTAGAGAATAAGTTTTAAATATTTCTGTGTGCAATATTTGTATTTTAGTAAGAATCCTTTGTATTTACATTTACATAGCACCTTTCATCCAAGAGTTTCAAGATGATTTAACTTTATAGCATTTGGTGGTGAAACCTCAATCAATGGGGGCATCGAGTTAAATAAGTTGAAGTTCTCTAACTTCCACTTCAACGATTTCTGGTCAACTAAGCATGCTATCTCTCTTTTTTACTGATGGTCTTTTGGAAAGCAGACTATGAACACAACATTGATACTCGCCTACTGAGCGGTTGGGGGAGACAGACATTGACTTTTCCCATGGCTACTGGATTACGGATGAAACACACAATTCATAAACCTCACATTATGGAATATGGGATTAATTATTCCAAAAAGTTCTTTTGAGCTGGTAATGAAAGCCTAAGAAGTGTACTGTTAAAATAAAAAATAGTCAGTATCTTTTTCACTTTAGACCTTAAAGATTACTCTGGTATTTATGTTAATAATGAATTTGCATTAATGAATATCAATGCATTTTTCTGGATTTCATAAGAAAATAAAACTGTGATATAAAATTGGAACTACTAAAAAAATTGATGTTTCCCTGGACTAACTAAATCTACTTTTTTGTGCTTCTTCCAAATGTTTAAAGGTAACAAATGCATATAAATATTTCAAAAGTACCAATACGAGTTATCAACTTTAATGTATTATAAAGGACAAAAACAGAAAAATTCTTATTAATAAATGATAACCTTAATAATAAATGAGCTCCTGGCAAAATGCAGATTATAGTAAATTATTTACATTATTTTTGCCATAAGAAAACTTCTTAAGCAACAGTCAGCTCTCAAGTTAAAAAAACTAACACACATATATAACCCAATACCAAAAAAGGGAAATGAATTAAAACAGAAGAGCTTTATCTTAGGAATAACATTTGCTGGAAAACCATCTTACTAAAAAAAAGTTTCAGAAAAACACTTTAATTACCTTGGATCCATGTATGAATGCTTAGTGTCGCTTAATGGGGAATATGGAAAGATTAATATCCCTATAATTTTATAGCTCCTATTTAATTATGGATCTTTTAGATTTATCTTATAAACTGAATTTCTTTTGAAGTGCATCAAAATAATTGGCTTTAAGAAAAAAAGTACCAACACATGCAGTCTGCTAACCAAATAAGGCTCTGACATGCCAAAACAATTTTCTCTGTATCTTGATATACAGTACATTCCACAAAATACTACAGCATTTAATTTAGATTTATACAACTAAATATAAATGACTAGATTTTGGCTAATACTTAGCAGAAGCATTAAGCAAACATAGATAAATTCATGAAACAAATGATGAAAGAAGTAGATTGTTCTTGGAGTACTTCTTGAAACACTTGACCTTAAAACACTTGGTCCTTAGCGAGAGAATGTCCTTTATTCAGTAGATCTTAACAGTACAATGTATAGTAAGTCCTAAAACTTTCTAAAAATTTTGGCAGTTGAATCCAGTAGTGCTCCTTGATTCAAGGAAGAAATGAAGGTTTGTATTTCTTGCCTGCTCTATTCACGAAGGATTGTTAAAAGTCTCCTTAAAGATTTTTTAAAATGATTCCTATAGTTGCTAGGTGTCTTGTTACTTCAGAAATAAAGGCTTCACATTGAGAAACTGAAGGACACTTTTCTCTCTGTATTTAGTTGGAAGGTAGAAAGAAGAAAGAAAATATAAGAAAAAAGCTTAAAGATAAGAGAGAGATAAAATACAGGACAGCCACTCTAAGAACAGCATGCATCAGATAATTCTATGGAAATGAGACAGTGACAGAAATCAGAGATAATTTTTCTTTGGCTCTTCAAACAATAGGCATTTAGTTTATTCTCATCAATTATCAAGAAAATTGTGGGGAAGTTGTATTCCTACCACAAAAAGACTTCAAATTAAAAAAGGGAATTCCTCGAACATTGTTCACTAGTAAAATTAAATTTAAATTGAGAAAAAAATAATTTTAAAAGATTTGTTCCCTGCACTGACAGGTTAAAACTTGCAGCAACCAGCTAATCTTGTACTAGTTAAATAGGACAGAAAGTCAATGAATGAAGCAAGCAATATTTACATCTGTTAATGCAATGTGCACTTGTTCTCATACTTAATTTGGTTAGTTTGTATAAATGAGACTAATTTCATTTGCATTTTAAGCAGGAAACTCACCACTTGGCCCACATGTCATGTAGTGGGGTAATAGAATTAGGAGCTTTGTTGCTCCCTTGACCTGTTTTTTGAATTTCTGCTTTCTTGTACTTTGTCCACATCTGCAGGAGAAAAGTATTTCATGTTACTTAATCAAAGGTTATATATAATACAATTCATGAAGAAACTAAAGAGCTCTCACTGAGTAGGGCAAGGAGAAGGAAATCTGTAACTGGGAAATTTATTAATCTGACAGACATCTTGATACTTAAAGACTGATCTTTACATTTTAAAGCTATAAATAATATTCTTAGGAAAACTATAACTTTTAAAAAAACATATAACACTAATATTTTTTCCCCTCTTACCGTCAGACAAACTTACTTACTATGTTTATTTACTGAATGGTCACCATACAGTTTTAAACTAAAAACAATCTTGCATGCAGCAGCACAAACATCTACCATGAAATATCTGTATTATTTACTAAGAAAACCAGGGCTGAGGCATGTTTTATAGGAAAATAATATACTTACTTATATAGCTAAAATTGGCTTAGTCAAAGGGGACTCAATGCATAAGAATATGTTTACAATGTTACACAAATCATATTGGGTATAATTTCTAGAACTTAGGCCAGGAATACTGAAAGCTATTCAGTTTCATCATATTTAAAATTAGGGTACTAAATCTTCAGATAGTTTTTCAAATCATTTGTGAAGCTGTAGGATATTTATGGAGGTGTCTTAGAAGAAGTAAGTGTAGTGACTTAATTGAGTCAGAGTGGCTTCACTTTTATCTTAAAGATTTTTCTTTTTTTAATTTTGAGCATCTATGTAAGATTTCATTCACAGAAAGTATTATTGTGACTTTTTTTAATGTTTGTGAAATACTGGTTCCATGATTTCTAAGGTTTTTGCTACTGACAAAAATTTGATTCCAGGTGCTATGAAAAAAATGTAGGTAACAAACTATTGTCGTTTTGGGGGAACTTTGACTCCACAGCAGATGGTGGTTTCTGGAGAAGTCTAGACTCTATTCTTGGTCAGTCTTCAGCACACATGGACATGGTATATATCTGTCTTACATGCACAGTATATATGTTCTTTTTGAAAACATGCTGTATATGTACCTATAGCCATTTAGGTGGAAAATACTTCTTTCCTGTAAGTCTCATTATTGTAAAATAATCACTCAGTTTTTAATATAGTAGGGTGATTTTTCAATGTATTTTGAATGAATAGTCAATATTTTAAATGTAAAGTGTTATGGCCAGATTTATAATATCTAAAAGGTTGAAACAGCTGTGAAATAATCTTTGACTCAATGTGGAAAAGAAATAACACTAATTGACATTTGTATCATATATGGCTCCCATCTAATCTCAGCTATATCTACCATTATGTTTTATTACTAGGTTATGGAAAAAGAAAAGGGAGAATATTAGCACCAAAAATATTTAAAATGTTAGGACTGGGCAACAATTGACAATAAAATAGAATGATGTATTCATGCAGAAGGTACACTGTGGTGGTAAAAAATATGAAAAAGTTCTGATTCTGTTCATTTGATTACCTGCACTAGAACCATTTTTAGTAATAGCTATGGGAAAAAAAGTGTGGTCAAAGATATAAATGGAAGGGGCCTAGTCCCCAAAATGATCTTGTCTAAGTACAAGAGGATTATCTTAATTTACAAAGGACACGTATTTCGTTATGCAAAGATTCTCTAGAGATTTTTTCCTTAGGTTCAATTAATAACAACTTAATACAATAACAAGTATAAAATAATAGTTTCCTCCCCACTTAGAAAGTTACATTTCAAGACATTCCTTCCAAGTGCCAAGTTGAGTTATCAGTAACATTTAGGCTGAAGCAAAATGGCAAAAACATTCCAGAGACAGAGCTAAGATACATTAGGAGTAAGTGAATCAGGGTTACAACTTTTTTTTTTTTTTTTAAATATTCTGGGTGTTAGAGATTCAAATTTAGCTGGTTAACTTTAAACATGCTATGAACACAGGTCATTTAAAATTTCATGACACTGGAATTAGCAAATATTTTCTCTATCTTATACGGGTTTTTTCTTTTAGCTAAAGAATTTGTATTTATTATGACAAGGTAAAGAGTTTGTATTTATCATCTAAAATATGTTCTCCTAAGAACATACTTGTTTGTTTAAATGGTTACAAGTCCTACTTTTACATTTTAGCATAATGTATTTTTAAAAATTGTTTTAAGGAAATACATATATAATCTAATAATTAATTATGGAAGTAACAATTTTCACCACTCCGTAAAGTTGCTATCATTTTGGAATAGAAGTAAAAATACAAATTTTCAACACAATGAATATGATTTGGTTTATTTCTTTTTGACTTTATATAAAAAAAGTACTAGAAAAACTACTGTTAACTGCTTCCAAGTAAATAAGTCATCTTGAAGGAAAGAGCTCTCATATTTATCAGATGTAGAAAAGTGCAAAGAAATAAAATTAATACAAATGCTCCTAGGGTACTGTGTAAATCACATTTAAATTTGATAGGGTTTTCTAGGAATAACACTAAATTTATGAGTATTAACAATGTTTTAAATCTGAACAATGTTTTATAAATATGGGCATTAGTTAATATTTGCTATATAGTGTTAAATTGAATTATTAACTATTTCTTTGAAAATAAAACAGGACAGATGACATAATTAAATGGCAAAAGAAAATGACATCTTTTTACATATTTTCCTTGCTAATACTGTACATGTGCAATATAAAGTACACATTCTGAAAAATAAAGAAAGGAAGAACAAGAGGGAGGAAGGGGAGGAAGAGGGAGGAAAAGAGAATATGAACATTCTTTCTTGGAAGCAACAAAGCAAATATGACTTGGAAATGCCTTCTTGGTAAGGTAGCATGCAACTGTTTTAACATGCTTCTGGATATCAAAGTAACAATCTTTTATCAGGCAACAAAAAATGTGAAAGAAGAAAGCGTGTATGGTTAAGGTTTTTCAAGGCATGCAGAAAATGTACAATGCAATTAATATTTCATGCAGGCTTTGATGTGGTTACACATTCACATTTATATACATGCTATGATGTACAGGTGAACACTAATGCAACAATTTAAAATAAAAAATATAAACCTAGCCAAATGATACTTTTCAACAGCAGCTCTTCAAATCAGATCAGAGAAGCACAGTGTATATCAAATAACATCAATATATTATATTGTGCAGTTTTGATCATACACAACCATATTCATACCAAACAGTTTGATTATCCTCAGAAACCAACAATGCAGCTTCTGTGTTATCAGGATAGAGGCATGCAGGAGTGACAAGATTATTGCTATTCACAGAAGACTGTGGCTTACTGCTACTGGAGTTCTGATTATCAGAAAACTGTTCATTATCTTTCTGTGTAGCTTTATCCAAAGAGGCAGAAGCCTGGTCAGTTACTCTGGTGACTAGCCTGGGAGGTAACCCACTTATATTACTAACTAATTCTGTATTCAGGGATAAAAATGGCTGAGATGAATGAGCCACAGTAAATGACTCTATGCTATTCTTTGCTGGTATTTCAAATGCATCACTAGGCACATTAACAGTGGCAAAAGTTTGGTTTAGACAATGTGACCTTTCTTTTCTTGAGTTTCTAGCCTGTGTATATTGAGACTCAGGCACACCTGTAGCTAACTCATCTTGGGCACAAGAACCTACAGCATATGTTGAACTGTGAAGTGTGTGAGAGGACCACTGGTATAAACGGTACTCACTAGATGCTGCAGTGGTGTTGCTATCAGCAGCAGCTGGTGGTGAATCAACTGATACAGGCAGTCTACTGTCCTTAGTCAAAAAATCATGGATGCTTGTCCTTCGTGTAGTTCCTTCAGCAGTAGAGATCACACTGCTTGCACGAGGTAAAGTGGCATAAGGGTTACTATCTTTTGATTGTCGTGACAGAGAAGTTTCTTTTACCAATTTTATCTTTCCTTGAGTGCCTGGTGTAGGTTTTCCTGCAGAACTAATGAAGTAGCTTTCTTCAGTCTTTCGAGGACCAGGTCTCACAAACTCAGGCTTAGTTGTCCGTCTATCATAGAAGTCGCCGGGAGTTTTTCCACTTACTGACCTGGCCAGACCACAGCTAACTGGTTTGTCTTTTCCCAAAAAGTCAGAAGAGACAGACAAACTTTTCATTACTTCATCTAAAAGATTCTCTTGACTTGATGACTTTATCTGTTAAAAAAAAAAAAAATCCAAGACCATTAGTGAATACAGTCATGTTTACTTTTCTGATACAGTAGACTGGATGATATAAAATTGCTGGTATTTCTTAACACTTCTTAACTGAAGAAAGAAAGCTCTGAAGTTCAATCACAGAAATTTAACTTAAGGTGTTCATCTAAATTAAGGTCACCACAGATAAAACTAACCTGTATTGAAGTAAGCTTGTTGCTTTCTTCCAAAAACTGTTGCAGAGTGACAATTTCACTTCCGGGGGAACCAGTTTTGATCTTGTGATGTGCTCGACTCTCTGACATTTCAGGCATTTTGTGCTGGAGCACTGGACTTGATCTGGTTTGTCTTTTCCAGTACTGGATTGGACTGCTACCACTGCTGGACCAAACCTCATGATCATGAAGCAGGCTAAATTCTCCACTGCTGTGGCTTTGTGGCCTACTTTGGCTATTAACTGCACCTGCTTTCAGAGTAAATGGTGTGTTGAGATTTCAGTAATAGAAATGAGATTAATACTATATAAATAATAACATTCGTTGACTGGGTTTTAATTACATGAATAGGGCAACTTACTTTCACACTTTATTTATTTAGAAATGCTTAGTAAACCATGTTACTCGTTCATCAGTCTAACGATTGTCTGCCATAGTTTGCTTCCTTATTTTGTCAAATTGACAAATACTATAAGCTCCACAAGGGCAAAGACTTGCTTTTACCACAATACCCAGAGCCTAAACAAAGCCTCATACAAAGCAGGCACTCAATACACATGATGAGTAAATGAATGAATTAAATAAATGACTGAATATACATTTTAAAAATTCACGTTCAAATAATTGTAAAATACTTCATAATTCAGAAAAAATATGATTATATGAATTTTAAATTATTTCAGAATGTTAAAACCAAACTGTTCTACATGCAAAAAATTCTAATTTTTTGCCTCTCTATGAAGTCCTCATTACTTACTTGAGGGCTTCTCTGTTCATCCTAAATAAATAACCTTAATAGTTTTAAATTTAATACCACACATATAAGGAAAGACAAATAAAAACACAATGCAATTACTTAGAGAATTCCAGTAAAAGTAAAAAATTGAATATGTATTCTTTTTTTTTTTAATGTCTGAATCATCTGATTGTTCCTGATGTCCATTGTTGATACGGTGCCTATATAGCCTTAAAAGACTCACTTGAGATTGAGCAACTATATAAAACGCCAATTAACTACTTCCAGAATAAAAGTCCCTAAAATCTATGCTATTACTTAAGAGTATTGATTCATTTTGATCAGTAGCAAACTGTATAGTACATCAGGACAGAAAATGCAGCTTTTCACGGTTTCCTAATCACAGAAAGTAAAGTGAGCCATGGAAGAATTTGGCTCAAGTTATGTAACATTTTACACAAATAAGATTGTCTTAAATTTTCAAATCAGAAAAAATCTTAGAATATATTTTTCTACTGGATGTAAAAACACGATTATAAAAATTTTAAAAATCCCCTCCTCGAAATCAGATATTTCACATCACTGCAACAAAGTCATAGCATTAATGATAAAATAAAATTATAGCTGAGACAAACTAACTTCATAATCTAGAAAGCAACAGAACAAATACATTCATTATAATTTGACAATCTGGACTACAGAGAATAACTGTAATATATTGGTTAAACAATTCTAGAATCTGAGAGGCATTATATCTTTAAGGAAAAAGGTTTTAGTCAAGGTTTCCAGACATTTACATAAAAACCTCACCTTGGAAAGCGTTTTAAAAAATTAAGGAAAAAAAATCTTGAAATAATTCTTTCTTTCTTTTTTTTTGAGACAGAGTCTCGTTCTGTCGCCTGGGCTACAGTGAGATCCTCTTGCCTCAGCCTCCCAAGTAGCTGGGACTACAGGTGTGCACCACCACAATGCCCGGCTAATTTTTCTATTTTTAGTAGAGACGGGGTCTCACTATTGCTCAGGCTGGTCTCGAACTCCTGAGTTCAAGCAATCCTCCTGCTTCAGCCTCTCAGAGTGCTAGGATTATAGGCATGAGCCTTGAAATAATTCTTTATATGAGCTATACACATTCATATAGCTCTTATTCAACATACATACATACACAATTGCTTCTCAAATTAAAAGCAAAATGCTTCTCCTTTTTTGTGGATAAATTAAGCTAAAAGTATTTCTAAAATATGAGTAATGTGAGTTCGATGTACCTGCATCATGAGAAAATTAAGGACAACCATTTTTATGTCAAAGACAAAATGTAAATAAAATAAGGACCTACAGATAATTTAGAAGTATAAAGATGACATAAGACTTTTATCTATGAAGATGAAAAACTGAAACCAAAATAACTGCTCCTGTTTTTACATTTGTATACATTGAAATACATTTGTATTACAATGTGAAAAGTATAAAATGTTCCAAAGAACTATGTTGCAAACATAGATGATTTGGATTTCATACTTTACCCCAGAAACTTCATCCCATCTCCCACTTTGTAATACTGGAAATGGTGGAGTACATTAATAAATTTACCTACAGCATACCTTTGACTTCATGGAGTGAAGCATTATTATTGCTATTGCTAGTGGATGTTCTGCCACTATCAAGGCTGGCTGGTCTCGAAGCTAAATGAAAAAATCAGGAGACAGTCTGATAAAACTAGCTGATGACACTGATGGGCTCTACATTCTGATCACAGAATGCTTTGAGGAAGCAATCATGCATACTTTCAGGCTGAGCATGCCCACAGAGAGCTGAATCTTACAGATTAGAAAGCAAAGGCATTTCCAGGATAGTTCAGTAAGACATTTTAGAACAGGACACTCCTAAAACAACAGTTGAGATTCAAAGAAAAGAGGATAAAGTGCATATTTAGATTTGAACATGATTTCTAGATGGATACCAGGACTGTTTTGGTTGTATAGAATGACATGTCCCCACAGTCCTCCCAAAATGCTAGTGAGATTAGGTCACTTACAACAGATCAGACAAGGAACCCTGCACATTGCAGAGATGCCACGAAGAGGATGGATATGAGCATCTGCACAGTTAATGTCCTGCATTCCTATCCACACAAGGGAAACAACTGTACAGTTAACACTGTCTATGCTACTTCTTAAAATGCTGCTTATATATGACAAGTTCTTTAACATGTTATCCATTTATTGTTAATAGTTTAGTTTGGTAAGATATGATTTTTCAGATAAAAATCTGAAATAACACTGCAGAAAATTGGGTTTCTTAAAGTTCATCCTTTAAAATAAATATTTTTAATATCTTAAACCAATATATTTTTATATTGGTATTTTAAACCAATGGTAAAATATAACTTTTATGACTTTAACCTTATACAAAAATGGTAACAAAATTACCTTTGAGAATTGTGCAGGCATACTTTATAAATGACCTTGACTAAAATAGAGAACATTTAGATGAAGCAATAATCTTAAAAGAGGCAAAAGGGAATATTAGGTTTAAAGAAATGGCACAGGTAACTATGAGATGCAGGATAGAGAAAACATGCTTGCTGGCAATGCCACATTCACCTAGTCAATGCAAGAGCTTTAGCATTCCCATTCTGTATTTAATATGTACTCTCTAAATAAAGTTCGTATCTTACCATGAACTCTTGATCCCGTACTAGAATCATCACTAATACCTTGTGGACTTATGTCTTCAAAGGATGTAGTATCTACATAAAATAGCAAAATGGATATGAAAATATTTTTGTTTAAAAAATTCCATAATAAAATTTTATTTATGCAGAATATGGAAATTCTTTTTCAATCATGTATAAGACATCTTGATTTAACATATTTCATGGACTCAACCAGAAACTAGGAGTAAGAAACAGTAGCTCTAATGAAAGTTGACTTGCTTAGGGAAAACACCAGAAGCAATGAAACAATCTCCCCTGTGACCCTGCAGAGCAAAGCAAGAGCCTGGGTTCTGTGTGGTTCTCTGAAATTGTAGCGCTTTCAGATTTTTATAAAAAATTTCTATCACTCCCTCCTTTTTTCACCCTTTACCTGGTTTACTTCTCCTTTTCTTGTTAGTTCATTAGCTGTTTATTATGAAAGGAAGCCTAGGAAAGATTTTAATTATTTGTACAATGTTTTAAATTTTTGATATGACTTGAAAATTCCCCTAAATCAAATACAGATGAAACTTTCATAATTATTTCAGGTTGTTGCTTTTAAAAAAAGTACACAGGGGAAAGTCAAATTAAAATTCCTGTTGCCAACAGTTACACCACAGTGCAAATAGCAGACGGCCTATACCTTTATTATTAACCAATTGCTTGGATCTGAAGCCTGCAGAAGAGTTGACAGTTGAAAAGTTGATGGCTGTAGTAGAGAAGGCCATAGCTCCCAATTCTTTTCTCCTTTTACCCGTTGAAATATCATCAGGAACCTCCAAATTCTCAGTACTACCTGTCCACTGTCCTGCTAGGACCATGGACTGCACCAGGTCATTCATGGCTGGGATGCAAATGAAAGCAAATGAATCAGCATGGTTAATGTATCTGCTCTTAAATCTATTCTGTATTATAAATGATCTGGTTTTTGTCCATGAATTAATGAAAATGGACTTCAAAAACTATAACCGTAAGGTCATCTGAATTGTGACATGCATTCAGCTGAATGAAATGAGTAAGCCAAAGGCTGAAAAATTTCAGTAAATACTTTTATCCCACCTCCACCCCCTTTAAAAGACAGAGAAAGGAATTTTACTATGTACAACTGCCATGCTTTTGCGCAGTGATGTGTGATATAATTAGAAGCCTTCACAAGGTGGTTTTGTGATGACAAAAATGGAATGAATAAAGGTAAGATGGAGAGCAGTTCTTATACAGCATCATTATTGAAAATGAAAGAGTCCTTGGTCAGAGCAGGTTACTGAAGAAATTATTCATTTTATGAATCAAATAAGTATACCATTCAATAAAAACCTGAAAGAGATGATATCCAAAGTGACAGACATTTAATGTGATTATGTAACTACCCATTCCACTTAGAAAAAGAAAACCCAGAATCTTATTGTATAAAGAATGACAAACATTTTGAAGGGTTACAGGCCATTTTATTTATTTAATCTGGTTCATTAAGAAAATAAATTCCTAATGCTAAAAGTTTTGTTGTATTTTTCTTAAGTAAATTTCTTTGGGAAAAAAATCTCCATGGCATATAAAATTAAGGGTTTTTTTCTGCCAACTTTTAGAAAGTACTGGAAATTTACAAGTATATTACATGTATTACTAAACATACGCATGTATATGTATCAGTGGACATACATATAATGCAAATTCAGTGCCAGTTTTGAAAAAATTTTCTTCCAGCTCCTTGTATTAGAGGAAGACTGCACTTTGCAAAATAAGGAAATTGGTACAGTCCAGAGAAAGGTTAGTGAAAAATTAGTAATGAAAGCCAGTGTAGTCATTTGAAAGAAGCTGAACTGTCATAAAGTCTTACACATGGAACGACGGTAGCAGGCCTTCATTTTGTCTTTATCCTTCGGTCTGTTCCTCAAAAAGGGCAGTCTTTTCAGTGCAACCACTTTAATGTCAGAGCATGAGGAAAAACAGAAACAGGGAAATGAAAGAAAAAAGGGAGAAGAACAGATGGGAGTTAAATGTTGAAATTAAGGACAGAAATGAATGTTTGAGTTTCAGCTATGTATGCTATATTAAAGTTATTATTCTCATGCTGCTGAGTGATAATGAAATATGAAATATGTACTTTGATACTTCAAAATACTTGGAAAAGCACTGAAGACAATGATGAGGAACATACACTTTGAAAGCTTGGATTGGCTACAGTTCTATAAAAACATGACTTGATTAAAATTACTTATGGAGGGATCAATTTTCCTAGTTAAGTTGTCAATGTAAACCTTTAAGATTATTGGTGGGTCACAGAGTGTACATGATGAAAATGTACAAAGCTCTTCAAGCCTCTATTTTCTTTAATCTGTTAAATCATACAGCTTTATTTTGGAAAACAAAATAATCTAGGAAAATGCATGTTCTACCAGAGTATTTTAGTAATATACATCAACAAAAATTAGGGTGCCCAAGGGATGTTTAAAACAATTTAAAGAAACTTTCAAAAAATTGCATTAAAAGGCCAGGTGCGGTGGCTCATGCCTGTAATCCCAGCACTCTGGGAGGTCGAGGCAAGAGGACCACTTGAGCTCAGAAGTTCGAGACCAGCCTGAGAAAGAGCCAGACCCTGTCTCTATTAAAAAGAAAAAAAAAAAAATCACATTAAAAACTTTCATTATTTTCGTAGACTTTAATAAAGAAACTAAGAAATTACTTCTTGCTTTAAACTAGATTCTGGTGCATCTTCAGCAGCACCATGGAAATAAACATTCTTTCAACCAAAGTCTTTCTAAAGATAAAAAAGCAATTATATTAAGCTCATTTTACAGAAGGTTGGTGGGAGAAAGAGAAAAAACTACTTTGACAGTAATAATAAATGTTAGCACTAAGCTCCGATAAAGCTAAAAGGTAAGAAGGCACCCCAAAGCAAGCAAAAATGAGAGAAAAATATGTATAACATTTTTAGCTATTTTGAAGGGCTTCTTGGGTGAATTTAATTTTGTGAATAAAAGTTGGGGTTATCACTCAAATACGGGAGTCATTAGGACAAAATTAAAACGTTCACTAGACTAACAATTCTTAAGCTACATTTTAGGAAGACTGAAATATAAAGATTATTATACCTTTTAGAAATGTAATTTAGGACTTAAAACAACTTGTAGAAAGACTTAAAACATATGAGGCCTGTCCGGAAAGTATCCAGCCACGGATACAATGGATACATGAATACAATGGCTGGGTACTTTCCAACAGCCCTCCTATAATACACAGCCTATGCTCTTTCTCAGGCTTTGCTATCATGTTGTAAGTAATCAAAGCTCTTTTGTCAAACTGACAAGTGCCATTCATTAAAGAGAGTGCAATGGACATATAGCTTTATAACTTGTTTGATCGCTATTAGGATTCACGATTCATTTAAGCTTTTAAGTTGACCTGTTTCTTTTCAAACTTGGTAAACACAGCTGTTTTCAATGCTTAAAAAGGAATGAACGAAAGCAATATAAAAATGGACACTTAGCTAAAATAAAGCTGAGTGGTTGCAGCATGAACATATTGTCTTATTTAGATACTTTTCTTTGTTTCTGTTTTCAATTGTTTGCCAGAGACTACTTCACTGACAGATACTCCTCCAAAATGGACAGGATAAAAGGACTTATACATTTCCCAGGTTGGAATTAGTTTGTAGATATATAATGTTCATTTCCCAAAGCATAATGAAATTAAGGGAGCTTTAGTATCACTGGGTTTTAGATTTACTTTTAAAATTCTAAAAGTGAACAATTGCAGAAAAGGAGAATATCACTTCCTTTTGATTCTTATTTTGGATGTTTCAGCAGAGAATATGAAAGAATGACAGATTCTTCTCTGACTTAATCAGAGAAGATGTCTTCAAAAAAGACTGTTGTACTTTTCTGGTGTATGCTCTTGTATCTGAATTGAAACATCTTCCTTTAATTTAAAAAAATTAAGTATAGCCATTACCACTTCTCAGTTAATGACAGATATTTTATATCTAAAGTTAATAAAATTAACTTATCTGCTACCCTTTAAGGAAAAGTTAACGATTTCTCTACAACAATAACTATACCCACAGGTTTTATGTAGATTTACTTGGTAGACAAGTCCAGATAGCAAAAGACCCAGTGTAACAAGAATCTTATGTGGGAATACAAAATTAAATGCTTTCTTGAGACTAACCTATATATATATATATGTGCATGTGTACAATGGTTTTTTGTTGCTTACCTATGGGTTCTAGTTTTTTGGCTGCTGTAGTTGCCTTCTGAAATACACCCCATAATGTCTAATATCCTATATCCTAAAATATTGTCTTTTCAGAGATTATTCACCTGAGGCTAAAACCTTGTGTATAGTTTTTTGAGTGCTTTGAGAGTTGCCCATATGGAAAGTCAACCCCTGGGAGAGGAATCACCTGCATTTATCTTCTATTTAAAAAAAAAATGGTGTGTGTTTTTTTAATTTAGTGGCATCAGTTATTGAGAGGATACAAAGTATCCTGTTTACATATTTTGTAAGAACACTGATAGCAGTCAACTTCTTAGACATCTTCAAAGGGCTTAGTATTAAATTATTTTCTCTTTCTCTTGAAATACACTTCTTTAGGCTTTTACTTTGCTCTTACTGTTAAGAATACTAGTAACAAAATAAAAAGGCTATGAATTATATAGGGAACATTATAATGTGATAGTTCTAAATTTGTAATAAAAAAATTAAATCATAAGCTTACACACAAACTTTTCTCTCCCCAATTATTTTATAATTGATCCTTTACAAAACAATCTCTAGATAATTCAATTTGACACCAAAGTATATGAGCTAAAACTTCATTGTAAAATGCCTTATTCTGATTAAGTTATAGATAATTATGAAAATGAAATCTTATACATATTTCTCACTTGCTGTCGCAATCACCCTGTGAAGTATGAAGCAAAGGTGAAGGACTTGCCCACATTAACAGAACTAGCAAGTAGCAGAGGTATTCTGAATCTTATTTCAATGTTTTTTATGCAGTATTTTACCCCCTTGGCCAAATGATGGTATCCCTGTATATGGTATATCTCAGAAAAATCATGTGGTTGTACACTATTCCGGTATGCAATTAATTTTATAATCACATGAAATTAAAAAGAAACTCCATTCACCAGACTATTGCCCCAAAGGACTGCTGAAATTTTTTAGAAAGAAATCTTTAGAAAGGACTCTAAATCAATACTGTGTTTAAAGAGTTTAAGCACTCACTGCTGCTTTTCTTGGTCCCCAAGGTTTGGCCATCTTCTAAAGAGTTTGAACCCACTGAAGAACTATCTTGACTATCTTGATGGGGAAGCTGAAGAAATCCTTCACTGGAGTCTGAGCGGGTAGGTGTTAATGTTAGAGATTTCTGACGTTCCCGATTAATATCTTTCTTAGATTTTATCAGTTTTCTCATTTTTAGAGTAATCCAGTTGCCCCTCCTAATAGAATTAAAAAAATTCTTATCAGTCTAAAATTCAATATTTAAACCCTTCAAAAAATTAGAAGTCTTCACAATATTAAAAATAAGTTTTTTTTCAAAATAAAAATTCATAAAATTTGGTTAATGGTACCTTCTAGGAGGAGATGGGTCATAAAATTTGTATTGATCCATAATTTTCTCTTCTAATTTCTCCTTCTGCCGCCTTAATTCATTTAACTTATCACTATAAAAATAAAAAATTATATTTTAGGACATGGATATTTTGCACAGCTGTGAATCACATTAAATTATTTTGTGACTATGATCTAACTTCTCCCCAAAACACAAAAAAATACAGCTATCATGACTGACAACTAAGAGTTTATTATTTATTAACAATGGAATAGCCAGGTGCAGCAGGTCACACCTGTAATCCCAGCACTTTGGGAGGCCGAGGTGGGAGGATTGCTTGAGGCCAGGAGATTGAGACCAGCCTGAGCAGGAGTGAGACCCTATCTCTACAAAAAATAGAAAAATTAGCCAGGCATTGTAGCATGTGACTGTAAGTCCCATCTACTCAGGAGGCTGAGGCAGGAGGATTGCTTGAGCCCAGGAGTTTGAGGTTGCAGTGAGTTATGATGATGTCACTGCACTCTAGCCCGAGCAACACAGTGAGACCCTGGCTTTAAAAAAAAAAAGAATATTTTCCATGTTCCTCTTTTTCTTTAAATTTACAAGTTACTTAAGGAATGTAAGATTTAAAGTTTTAATTCTTCAATAGGATTTATTTTATTTATTTTCCATATAATCTTGTCCTATACAGGAACTCTCAACATCTTTTTACAGCTATTAAAGAAACATTATATCGACATTGGCTATTTCCCTATTCTTGGATCTGTAGTACCTCAAAAATCATTTTTGGAATGAAGGAAGGTGATTTATTACAATCAAAAAATAAAAAATAAAAATAAAATAAAAACGCCGAATATTTAGTTTGCTTACAATTATATAGATATAATAAATAATCCTGCAACCATATCTTTATGCAAATGCATTTTTTTTTCCTTTTTGGCAGAATTATTTAGGCCTAATTTACTTGTAGAGAATTATTTCCTGACTCTAGCAATGCACGAGTATACTAGTTTCACCACATCCTAGTTCCATTTTTATGTTCTTGGTAGTATTTACTATAGAGAAATATCAAAAATCACAGACCAAAGTAATTTCTTGTAAAAAAAAAAAAAAACAAACAAACCCATAATGCCAAAGAATACTATTTACTCAAGAAATATCAATGATCACTTACAATGAGGAAGGTATAAAGTATATATAAAGATGAATAATAAGTAGTTCTGCTTATAATATAGTAGGAGAGAGAAGATATACACATATTATAATCCAAGGCAGTAGCAATACCAAAATAAAGCACTGTGGAAGTACAACAGGAAATTATAACAGGGAAAATATTTGCATCTTGGATGACCAAAGAAATCCTCATAAAGAAAAAGGCGATATTAGATAGGCTCAAAAGATAAGAATGCTAATTTAAGTAGTTTAACCTGAATGTAGACTGGGGGGAAGCCATGAGGGAGTCTTGGGTTTAGATTTTGCTTAGTAGGAAATCAGATATACTGAAGGATTCACTGCAAAGTGATATTATGAAATCTTTGTTTAAGGTACATTAACCCAATGATGGAATAGGATGTATTAGAAAGGTTGGCAATAAAGACAGCATTCAGTAGGCTAATGGGGTAGTCTAGTTGAGAGGAAGGCTGAATTACAGTGGTGGGAACTGGGAGGAGCTGATTTGAGAGATTCTGTAGAAGATGCTTTGTGAACAAATGTTGCCAACAGTTATACCACAGCACAAATAGCAGGCAGGCTGTACTATTATTATTAGCACATGGCCTATACTGCTGTTGTTGTTATTCTTATTCTAGAAATGGAATATTGCTCTATTGCCCAGGCTGGAGTGTAGTGGTGTGATCATAGCTCACTGCAGCCTTGAACTCCTGGGCTCAAGCCATCCTCTTGCTTCAGCCTGTGACTACAGGCATGTGCCACTACAATCGGCTAATTTTTAAATTTTTTGTAGAGATGAGGTCTTGCTATGTTGCCCAAGCTGGTCTCAAACTCCTGGCCTCAATCGATCCACCCATCTTGGCCTCCCAAAGTGCTGGGATTACAGGCGTGAGCCACCCTGCCTGGCCTATACCTTTATTATTAAGCACCTGATTGGATCTGAAGCCATGGAAGAGTTGACAGTTGAAAAGTTGATGTCTGTAGAATAGAAGGCCATGGGCCCAATTCTTTTCTCCTTTTACCCACTGAAATATCATTAGGAGCCTCCAAATTCTCAGAACTACCTATCACTCTTGCTAGGCGCATGTGATAGAGGCATTCGGCTAGAAATGTCTGACATGTAAGATAGATATTTGTGATTTAAATTCAATATATCAGAATAGATTAAAATAATCTTTGGAAGTCAATTATATAGACACAATCACTGATACCCTGGAAATGCATTAGTCACCAGGGGTCAGAATATCAAGACAATAAAACTTTGGATAATGCCTCTGCTGAAGGAACAGGAGACTCAAATGCCCAGAGCTTTACATACACTCAGGGCTTCTTAACCTAAAATACCTCTTATGTCAGAGAGTAAAGGAATACATACCCCTGAAAGGATTGAAGGTATAGTCCAAAGTGGCCAGCCACAAATGTGAAATTTCTTTGAGGTTTTGCATTTATCTTAGAAGTTTATGCAAACTTTGCCTTTTGTTCCATAATATACCTGTGTGTTACTATAGAAACAATGTTCTCTGCCCCAAAATTCTGTAATAAAATTAATGCTTCAGGAAAATCTATGATGTATCCTAGTCTCACATGTACCCTGATTTACCAACATGTACATTAAGTTTGAAAGGTATTTCCTTAGGATAATCTGGGAAGTAGATATTGTTATCTCTGTTTTAGAGAAGAAGAAACTAATGATCAAAGAAACGAAGTGACTCAACTCTGGTCACATGGCTAGTGAATGGAAGAGCTGGGATATGAATTAGCTGTCTGATTTCAACAACTGTGCTATTTCTATTATACTGTGATGCTTCTCATTTATGAGGCATGAGGAAGAAAGGTGAATTTAGTAAAGGTGAATCATTGTGCAATACAAAGAATACCCACTGAGCTGTCCAGGTCCAAATCCCTTAGTCTTACCACATTCTTTTACTCTCAATGGAGACATAAATTATCAATAATTAAGCCCTGTTAACTCTCTCTCTCTCTCTCTCTCTCTCTCTCTCTCTCTCTCTCTCTCTCATACCTCTTGTAGCTTTATCTTAACTCCTTTGTTGTGGCAAAAAAAAAACAACTTTTGTGAACTGGCTCCTGACTGTTTAGCCACTTCTGTACTGGCCCCTCTTCCTCAAATTCGCTCCAGAAAGAACAATTAATTTTTAGGTCCTATACCATGCCACAAAATACTTTTATCACACCTCCAAGTTTTTGCCTTCTGCTCTCTTGGCATGGCATGCCTCCTCAAGCAAACTCCTGCTGAACCTTAAGTCTCAGCTCACGTTTCATCTCTCTCAGACTAAGGTAACTCCTTCTTGCCCTGTATTTGCTGTATTTCTATGGCCTCCTACATATACCTCCATTATAGAATTATTGTATTTACATGTTTATTTGTATTTCTCACTTTATATTACTAATTTCTTAAAAGCAAGACTAATGTTTTCATGTTAGTATATCTGGTTATTAACAATGCCTGAAATATAAGCACTCAAAAAATATATGTTGAAATAATACTGTTGAAAATCAAGAAAAATTAAGCATGAGTTTTCTCTGCCACTGGGTATGGTAATGATAAAATCATGAGTAATATTTCAGAGTATAAAATTATCTGGTACCTACATGTACTGTCTTTGTTCAACATGAAAAAGATCTTTGCTTTCCATGTTCTGTTCCAAAAGTGTTCTGTTCTGCAGCATTAATGTCTGAATTTGATCTAGTAGATGTCGATTTTCTTCTTCTAAATTTCCTTTAAGTTGGCTTAGCAACTGTTTAAACACAAACATTTATTTTTAAAAAACCAACATTAACATTTAACATAAATCACCCAAAACATCTGAAAAACATTAAGTACTTCGTGAAGACTTAAGTCTTCTACTATTTGAACAAATTAGATGATTGCACTTTGATCAGAACATGATTATTTTAGTGATAATGATGGCTACAGCACTGGGTTACATGCTGTACCTATATATTTTCTTAATTCTCAAAAACACTGGGGCTAATATATAATAAATTATCTAGTTCCAAAAATATTGCTTTCTGTCTTCAAAATTGTTTAATTTATAGTCCAAAAGCTAGATTCAAATATCTAGTCTTCTATTTAAGTAGCTATGAAATGTTGTACAAGTTAGTTAGTTCTCAGCTGTATAAAATGCAGATAGCTCCCATCCCCCAAGATTGTTGCAAGGACTAAAATTCAGCATCATGTGTAGAGTAGATTTCTGGACTCCAGCATTTGAATTCAGCAGGTCTGGAGTAGAGCCCAGAATTCTGTATTAAAAAAACAAAAGCAAACCACACATATCCTTTCCACCTCCCAAAAAAGGAAAAAGAAAGACAACGAACATTTTGAAAATTTTCAAAAGGTATAGAAAATCAGGGAGAATGATATTATAAATAACCATAAACAACTAGAACCAACAACTGTCAGTATTGTACCATGTTTGTTCTATTATCTATATACTGTTAAATTGAAATGTAACATATGTGTAGATTCATTGAAAAACTGAGTGCATTTATTCTCTTTTCTGTACTTATACCCTCTTGCAATGTGACTTCTCACTCTTCCCATCAAGAAGTGGAATCTATTTTCCTCTTCTTGAATTTGGAATGCCTTTGGCCAAGAGAAAGTGGAGAAAGTGATGGTATGACAGTTCCAAGCCTAGGCCTCAAGTTGCCTTGTGTGCTTCCACTCAGTCTCTTGGAACCCTGCTAGAGGATGGAGAGACCTCACAGAACAGAGAAGAGTTATTAAAGCTGAGACCATCAGCGTACCTGCCACAGCTAACTACAGATGCAGGAGCAAATCCTTGGCCATATATCATGAGTGCTGCTCAGCTAATTCACAGACTCACGAGGAAAGTTTATTGTCCATTACTGTTAAGGTTGTATAGTTGTTAAACAGCATTATTGTGTCAACAGACAACTGATAAAACATATACACAGAAAAGGGAACAAATTTTTCAGTGGATACAGAGCTCAATGAATTATCACAAAGTGAATATGTATGTTAAACCAGCACCCAGATCAAGAAACAGAACATTAATTATATTTCAGAAATAATTGTGTGCTACCTTCCCGCCAACGTTAACTACTATCCCAACCTCTTACACCACAGATTAATTTTTCCACCACCTCCAAATCATGCCATTATACGACTTAGCCCCACCCAAAGGTTAACATTTGACTCAAGTTGTGACAATCAGTCAGGGATGAGTAGATAGCTAGGGCCCTCTCTGGTCTCTTCAGAGCAGCTTTCCAGACCACCAGTGATATATGAGACCTAATCAAGACCCACTGTGTCTGTCTCATTTCTTGGAATTCCTAGGTAAATTTCTGACTAGTTCACTGGTCTGATCGCCAACCAGTATTTCAACCCCAGGCTATCTAACAGTTGACCTTTGACAACTCTCCCAGGCATGGGACTTTTCTGTGTTCTGTTTCAAATCAAGTCAGTCTCCTCTAACAGGAGAACTGCTGGTTTTCACAGCTTGCCCGGTGCCATGTCAGAACTACAAGGTGTAAGGAGGAGGAAAGCAGGAGGGGAATGGGAAAAGCCACATGATAAAATGCCTCAGAAAAACATAGTTCCTCCCCAAAGTTGAGTAGTTTTTCTTTACTAAAGTGCCTCTCAATTTGTTGTATGCCTTGGTTGAGTTCCAGTTTCCTAAAATGGTTTTTGACAGATCTGTCCAATTTTGTTGTTTCTTAGGGAGTTGATTGGCCATGTTCCTCCCTCTACCATTCTGGAAGTATATATTCCTAATTATAATTTATTTAGACTTTTATAAGTTATAGGTAGAATGAATGTTCTGTACGTTCTGAGCTTTACTGGGTAATTATTTATATGTGCTTTCAAATTAATTTTTCTATTGGTTTATAATTTCATGCCAGGTATACAGTAAACATTTTTTCATTAAACAAATACAACATAATTTTATGATTTTCAAAGTATCTGGACATTTAGGTCTAAACTAACAGTAAAAAAAAGGTGAAATTAATGATACAGGAAGTTTTTCTGAATTACTCGTGAGTTTCAATTATCCCTGATCAAATTCTTTTGGAAATACTCCACTAAATATATACTGCTATTGTCGTAACACGATCATTTACTTTTTAGTCACGTCTTGGTGCCTAAAAGAAGAAAACGGTGATTAAACATGTTAAAGCTCACCTCACACACACAAAAAAAAGCTCACCTCACACTGGTTATTCAGCTTGGTCGACGTAATATCCAACTGTTGGTATTGTTCCTTTAGCTTTGAAAATTCAGCTTCTAATCTTGTTTGTTCCAGTTTGGAATTATTTAGAAGACTTTTCAAATTTTTATGGTCAGTTTGTAAAACTTCAGTCTCTTTTAAAAGTTGACTATATGTATGATTCAACCTATTATTAGAAATCATAATAGAAATAGAATTAGATTCTCTTAATAGCTTACACTGTAATTTAAACGTGAAAATGCTGTAAATAACATTTAGACATACTTAGAGAAAATAAAAGATTGTTTTGCCAGTTATTAAACTGATTAAGAATCAGTTCCTATTTTTCAAAACCAGATTAAAAACAAAAACCCCAAGTATCTTTCCCTTGAAAATAATCTTTCAGCCTTTAAGTATGCTGAAGTAAAGATACCCAAAATTTCAAGATTAGTAAGAAAATATTTATTTTTTTTAGAGACTGGGTGTTGCTCTGTCCCCTGGCCTGGAGTGCAGTGGCATGATCATAGCTCACTGTAATATCCAATTCCTGGGCACTCAAGTGGTCCTCCCTCCTCAGCCTCTCAAGTAGCTAGGACTACAAGCACATGCCATCATGGCTGGCTAATTTTTTAACTTTTTTTTTTTTTTTTAAGCAAGGGAGTCTCATTGTGTTGTCCAGGCTGGTCTCAAACTCCTGGCCTCAAGCAATCCTCCCACCTCAGCTTCCCAAAGTGCTGGGATTAATAGGTGTCAGCCACTGCGTCCACCAATAAGAAAACATTTAAAGGACAAAAGAGGCTGGGTACCATATTATGATGTGTGATGAAAAATGGATTCTATTTGACAATCACAAGCATTCAGCACAATTGTTGGATAAAGATGAAGTGCTGAAACACAGTCCAAAGCCAAATATTTATCAAAAAAAGCTAATGGTGTTGGGTAGTCCAGCGCTGGTATTATCCACTACAGCTTCATGAAACCTGGTCAATCAATTACAGCAGATGTCTACTGCAACTAACTGGATGAGGATGCTTGCAATTAAGCAGCCAAGATTGGTCAGTAGAGACAGGCAAATCCTCTTGCAAGACAACACTCGACTATATGTCACACAAACAATGCTGTTCAAACTATAGAAGCTGGACGTGGAAACTCTGTCATCACTGTATTCATCAGCCCTTGCATCAACACACTACCACTTCTTCCAGACTTTGGACCATTTCTTGCAAGGAAAAATATTCAGTTCTCAACAAGCTGTGGAAAAAGCCTTTGGCAATTTCATTGCCACTTGCTCTCCAGGCTTCTTTGCTGCTGGCATAAACAAGCTACTGTTAACTGTGGCAAAACTGTATTGATAGTTTAAGCATGTACTTTGATTAATTGTACTGCTTCTTGTTGGAGATAAAATAAACTACACTTTAGATTCGAAATTGCACATTTCATATTGAATGACCTAATACACACACATACACACACATAAATAAATGACAAAAGAGAAAATGACCAATTCAGCTTTGATTTCATAAAGAATTCAAAGATTCTAAAATTCATCATAAAACAGAGATAAGATCAAAAGAATGAATCAATCCAGAATGAAATACTATGTCAGCTTTGCGCAGTGGCAATGTCATAGCCAATGAGGTTTATCCGAGGCGCAATTATTGCTAATTGAAATACTATGTCAATATGCTGGTTGCTAACTGAGATATACAGGTTTAAACCAAACTTCAGTTGGGATTTCTGGAATTGTGGCAAATTATTCATTATTATGCAATCCCTAATTTTTTTTTTTTTTGTAAAAAAAAAAAATCACACTATCGCATTTTCTTTTTCTTCCCACAGTTCACTTTCAAACAAAGTTCAGTGATCTCTAAGGGCAGGGATTGACAAACTTTTGCTATAATAGACCAGAGGATAAACATTTAGACTTTGTGGGCCACATGCAGTCTCTGGAGCATGCTCCTTCCCAAACCTTTAAAACATAAACACTTTTCTTAGTTTGGAGGCTGTACAGACACAGACTGCAGGCTGTATTTGGACTGATGAGCTGGCTATAGTTTGCCAACCTCTATTTTATGGCATTAAGATCAGGAACCCACAAAAGAGGGAGGCAGCCAAACAAAACAAACTTTTGCTCACAGTGGTCCTTGTTCAGAACATCTAATAGTTTTACTCAACTCATTCCTGAAAGAATTTGAGTCAGCTTACAAAAATTATAAGTAATAAAATATTTTTTAAAATCAAATTAAAAAGCTTCTGCACAGCCAAGGAAACTATCATTACAGCGAATAGACAACCTACAGAATGGGAGAAAATATGTGCTTTCTACACATCCAATAAAGGGCTGATAACAAGAATCTACATAGAACTTAAGAAAATCAATGAAAAAAATCAAACAACCCCATCAATAAATAGGCAAAGGACATGAACAGAAACGTTTCAAAAGGAGACAGACTAATGGCCAGCAAACATATAAAAAAGTGCTCAACGTCTCTAATCATTAGGGAAATGCAAATCAAAACTACAATGAGCTATCACCTAACTCCAGTGAGAATAGCCCTTATCAAAAAGTCCCGAAACAAATGCCGGCGTGGATGTGGAGAGATTGGAACACTCTTATACTGCTGGTGGGACTGCAAATTAGTACAACCCTATGGAAAGTAATTTGGAGATACCTCGAAGACCTAAAAATAGAAATACCAGGTCATTACATTAAGAAAAATACGCCAGACAAAGACAAATATCACATATTCTCACTCATATGTGAGAGCTAAAAAAGTCAATGTCATAGAGGTAGAGAGAGGAATGGTGGTTACCAGAGGCTGGGGGATGGGGTGAAGAGAGACTGATTAATGGGTACAAACATATAGCTAGATAGAAGGAATAAGTTCCAGTGTTCCACAGCACAGTGGGGTGACTATAGTTAACAGTAATTTACTGTATGCATATTTCAAAATAGCCAGAAGGTTTGAAATGTTCCCAACACAAAGAAATGATAAATGTTTGAGGTGATGGATATCCTAAATACCTTGATTTGATCATTACACATTGTATGCAGTTATCAAAATATTATATGTACCCCTCAAATATGTACAACTATTATGTATCAATTAAAAAAACCCTTAAGTAGTTGAAAATAAGAGAAGAACAATGAGAGAAAACAGGAGAAATAGGTGTGAGTAATAGATTCCATAACTAACTGCATGATTTTGCTGGGTAATGTACTTACTGCTCTGAGGTATGTATGTATTTTTTTACTACAAAAAGAACTGTACCAAACAGTCTATTCTATTTTTTAACATTCTAAGTCCAAATTATGGTTGGTACTACAATGGGGCAGTATACACTTTGGATGTAAGGCATAATACAGAATTAAAATATATAAATATTACCTATCATTTTCAATACAAAGTTTCTTGTACTCTGCAGCTACCATCTCATGGTTTTTATTTTCAAGCAGCATTTTTTCCTGTTCTACTTTGAGCATTTTTTCCAAATCTTCCAACTGTCCTTTCTGTTTTAGTAACTGATTGTAACTGGAAAAAAAAGTTAGGTATTTGGTTTATAATATTTCCAAAAAAGAAAACATTTTAGCAATGAGGGAAATAAGAGTAATTTATTAATAATATCACACAAAACACATGTAAATTTATAAAAATTTCCTACATGAATTACCTATTAGATGTATTTAACATATAGAATTTGTTATACAACTTGAAGAAAAGTGAGTTTAAATTCACAACACAACAAAATATAATAAATTACCGGTCTTCAAGATCTTTATGTTCCGCCTCAAGATTTTTGTGGGCAGACTTTAGAGTTCCATGTTTAGAGATAAGAGATTCATACTCTGAAGCCTGCCGTTCATGAAGAAGTTCCAGCTTTTCATGATCTTTGATTAGAGAATCATAGAGAGATTTTAGCTCTTCTCGCTCTTTGATTACAGATTCATTTTCATTTTCTAAGGAAGACTGCTGGATTAGGAGTTGTGCATTCTGGTTCATAAGGGAGGTACTTTGGGAATTAAGGGTGGAATTTTCAACCTATAAAAATGCATATTGTTATCAGACAAGACAAATAGTTCATGTTCTTTTTTTAAAAATAAAAGTTTTATATTGTTAACTTAAGGACACTCTAAATACATTACAGTAGATACATTTACATTACACTGGGAACATTTGGATTTTAGCTTTTTAAAGAATAAGGCTACCATTTAATTTTGATTTTTGGTGGTGTTATATATATGATGTATATGTGTATATATACTTGTACATATATATGTTTTGGGTTGAATTTATTTTAAATGAAGGTGATTAGTAACTACTTATATTCTACTTATGAAAAAGTATAGAATTTGAAATGCAAGTTTATCATTTCTAGAATTTAGGAGTTGAAAGACCTGAAAAACTACTTTTGGAAATTTTTCAAGTCCAAATTAGATTAGTATTTGCTTTATTACTTGGAAAAGGGTTACAGAAAGAAGAACTTTGAGTCAGAAAGGGAACTGGTTTCAGTTCTTTAAGAGGTTTCAGACAGTTGCACTGTTCACCACCTGATTGCTCTGGTAGGTAGTGTTAAGTGAAAGATGGATCCTTTGAACTAAGGATAAGTCTAAAGACAATATTCCTATGCTGTCTTGTTTTGTAATAACTAAACTGATAAGAAAGATCATAAAGTAAATATAAATTATCTTTGCTCATTTATATTTATTGAATGAATTTATTAATTAGTATTTAGAGGCTCTGACATTTTAAAAAAATGCTGATATATGAAAGTTTGGCAAGGCACTAAATTAAAAAATTTTAATATATCTTCGATTAATTGTTAAATTCACTAAGACCACAATGTTTCCCATGTTTAGCCTCCCTTATTTTAATAGCATAATTCAAGAAATTGGTTACACATCCCCAAAATATTACATTACAACCTGAAGCTTGGCATTCTGTGTTTGAAGAGTGGTATTCTGTTCTTGTAATGACACTGTCTGCCTCTGAAGTGCAAGAATCTGAGCCTGCAAATTATTGTTCTGTGTCTCAAGTTGCTTCAGTTGAGTTTTCAATGCTTGCTTCTCTGCTTGCAGTGTAGCATTCTTAATAGAAGAAAAAAACCCATATATATTAAAAATAAAAGCAACATCAAACATACTTCTGTAACATACTGTAATTTTGTACACTGAGCCCTTACTATCATCATGATCCAAAAAAATCCAATAATCTTAAAAGAGAAAAAACCCAAAACATTCCCCCACTATCCTAAATTGTAAACAGACATTTAATCTAAGAAAAAGAAGGGAATAATACTCTTAATAAGGCTTAATATACTATTGTGCCTGTGTCCCATCTGCCTTATAGTATCCTCAAAATATTCCATTCTAAATATATTTATTAACCCAAGAACTAGGATGGAGTTGTATGCTTTTAATATTGCTCAAAAGTGCCAAAGTATTGCTTCTTGGCCTTTTGGAAAAAAAATAAAAAAATAAACAATAAATTATTTATAATTTTCAAAAATATTAAAAAACAAAATGCCAGAGTGCCCAGAATAAGTGGGGCTATGTCCAGGCAAGGAGGTGTGCCAAAGGCAAATGTATACATAGGTGAGTGGTGGTTCCAGGGATAGCAGCAAAATAAATATTTGAAAGAGAAGATTTACAGGAACCACCTTACCCATCTGTTTAAAAAATTTAGCCCATAATAGTCCTAACAGATGTTACATACTTTCTTCAGTTATTTTAGTTACATCTATTCTTTAGTATTTTAGTGGTATAAAATTCTTTACTAGTTCAGTGGTATAAAATACTCACTAACATTCTATTTCAACTAAGGACTTCTGGAGCATATCCAAACAAAACACACCATTTTCAATTTTTCTAGTACAAGTGGCCATATTTAATTTTTATAGTTAAATAGGAAAATTACTATGCAGATCATTATATTTAATGTGATAGATGTTAAAATGCTTGTCACGGATATTATAATTTCAGGAT